CAACACAAAACCACAAGTTCTTGGAGTAACAGGTTGCATTACCCCATCTTGGCTTGATTCAAGCCCAAGGCCAAATCCAAAGTCCAAAAAGTCAAACTAGGAATAAAAGCCCAACATATGGCCCAATATTCCAAATTGGGCCCAAACCTTTACATGGTCATAATTAAGGCCCAACTACTTAGTCCAGTCCAAACATTTGGCATTCTCATGGCCCATATAATATAATCATTAAGGCCCAAACTATAGCCCATCTATGGCCTAATTTTCCAAATTGGGCCCCAACCCCTTACATGGACCTTACCCTAGGCCCATTAAATTATTCTAGTCCAATTGCTTGACTTTGGATGACCCATTAATAACCCAATCATCAAGGCCCAATAGAGAGGCCCAACAATAAACCCAAGTGAAATTAGGGTTTCACATAAAATGATGATTAGGGTTAAGTTTCCTACTTAACCTATTAAGGACTTAATCCATTAAGTCCAATATCGCTTGGATTAATCTTTGCCTATGATTATTGTTTAATATCTCAAGTTATTAAATAATTCCCGCGTGTCGACACCACCGCGAATCACACTTCCACAAATAAACCCCGCCGCTGGTCCTTCGGGGGTGAATTTCAACCGGAAAATTGGATGTAGGTTGTTCTAGAGGTGGCGGCTAGCTGCTGGCTGCTGTGGGACTAGTTCCGGAGCGGTGGTGGTCAACACGACACCGGAAACAGCCGAGTGCGACCATTAACGGCGACAAGAAACGAGAAGGAGAAGAGGATGGTGATAGAGAGAATAGCAGCGGCGCTCACAGCTCCGCCGATAGGTCTTGTTGTCTCCAACTGCAGGGCACGACGGTGGAGGTTCAGTGGCAATGAAACAGTGATGGTTGCTTCCTCCCAGCTTCGTCGTTAACTGATGCGACGGTTGCTCCCCTCTCCAGTCGGTCTTCCATGCTTTCGGTGAGAAAGACTACGTTGATGTGCTAGACGATTGGCAAAGTGAACGAGATGGGTGATGGAGCCGGAGGAAAAAGGGAGAGTGTCAGCTGTAAAATGGTCGATCGGGTTAGGGTTAGGGTTTGCTTAACCTTTATACCCGGTTCTCTTCAAAGGTTTGCCATAATGACAAAAGTATCCCCTCCTCTCCCCATTTCCTTCAAAATAAATCCAATAATTACACTTTGAACCCTCACCATTAAAATCTCTTACAACTTAGGTACACATTTTACCAAATAGTCCCCCAGTGTCTTAATTATAACATATCTAGCCCCTCCACCTCATTTCTTTTTAAAATAATTCCCGATAATTACCACAGAGCCCCTGTCGTCATAAATATTTATGAAATGAGTCTCGAACTCACACTTTTAAACCCCGACTTCTAAAAATGTGGCAATTAACTCCTCGAACCCAACACCCGCATATATAATTATTTATTTTAGACTACCTATCGTTCATTAATTAATTTATTTAACTAATAAATAAACGGGTGTTACAACTCTCCCCCACTTAAATTAGATTTCGTCCTCGAAATCACTCCTTACTATTTCTTACATGCAAAACCACTTCTAGTAACATGATCACTGTCCTGGGCACACCCTAGCCTTCCCACGGTAGCTGTGACCAATCTTCGCAAAGCCCTAATATCCTCATATGAACGAATTCCTCGCAACAGGATCACATTTACTTCGTCTGAATCTAGTATCTCGAGATGGTCTGATTCCCTGACAGACCACTCATACTAAATCATCATCGACGAATCCAATCTGTTTATCCCTCAACTGTCTACTCAACTTCTGATAGTTCGAGGTTCCCACTATAAAACAGGATCACATACCTAATTACCCCTGCAGATCACTTCTTCTTGGTCGAGGCTCAGCTAATCCCACTGGGAGTGACTTGTCACTTCCCAATCAACCAGCTTTTCCGTCCGAACTTGCAACCTATACACAAATACTAATAGTGCCAATCGCTAAAACGGCCCAAACATTGATTTGCCTGAAGCAGTATGTTGCCACATAGCTGCTTCCCAACATCTACCGAGACCTACCTGATCTCAATTTGTTCGTCAATCATCTGAAATATCAGGTTCTGACCCGGCTACGGAGCCAAAGGACTCCTACTTAGTCGCCTCATACCGACTCCTGAACGAAATCCTTCTCTGAACTAGTTGCCACTAGTTATCATGCAATTGTGGCTCTAACAACTTCCTAATACAATCGATCGGGCCCATGCATCGAATCTTGACGTCATCCAATCCAAGACTAAAAGTGATTGCTACTTAACCAATGGTAGTCTTACATCACAAACGACCTTAACCATTCCATTGCTTCCCTGATCTCATAACTGTAGTGACGTCCTTACAGTTTTATCACTGGCTTATCCAGATCTAATCCCTTTGGGTAATTCTAAAATCCTATCCGTGGATTTCCATATCTTCAATATGCTCTCCACTCTTCTCTCAGCCGTAAACTGTATATATGTCTCACACATGCACTAGACTTCTATTTATATGGTGCACATGGGCCGGCCGTGAACAGGTTCATGGTCGTAAACACACACACAACCGTAAATACCAAGCTGTTTACGGTCCTAGATTGAAAAAAATATTTTTCTAGAAAAGTAAAGTATAAACCATATTTTTGACCTAACAAGTGTGGAAGTTGAAACATGTTGATTACTTGTTTGAGCAAGTGTTTGTGATAGTTACGTAGTTTGTGAGGTGGTGGTAACAGGATGGTGGTTGTGCGGGTTGTGGCATCAACATTGAGGTGGTAGTGGTGGTGGTGGCTATAGGATGGTGGCAGTAACATCGGTGGTTGTGATTTTTGGATTTAATCTAAATGTGGTCAAAAGATATATATTTTCACTTAAGGGCATGTTAGTCTGTTATTACATTTGAATAAAAAGGTCATGTAGACCCTTTTGTTTTCATATTTTAGAATAGTTGGTGGTGTAGTGGTTGTGATGGTGGTGGGTGGACCCATGGAAGTTATGGTTATAATATTTGTGGTGATGCTAGATATATTTAGTAGTAGTGATTAGTAGTTTTAATTAGTAGATAATAAGCAATAAAGAGAAGACAAACACAAGGACAAATTAGTTATATTCTAAAAATATAACAACTAGATTGTTAGATTTAACAATTCAGGACCATCGGTGTTACCAAAAACCTCCACATGGACCATCTATGACAAAAAGCTGATACGAAGACCAAAAGTGTGGTTTTAGCCAAACCAAAGGGACCAAAAATGTATTTTACTCTATTACTTTAACCTAGGGTGTTGATCCCGTAAAATTTTCGGGTTCGGATAGAACGGGTCGGATAGTTTGGGTTTTCCCTTACAATAATAATACCCGATACCCGATCTATATTGTAGGGCTGAGCATGGGTCGGTTTTGCCCCAAAACCGAACCCAGATCGATGACCATCGGTTTCTAAATACTTGAACCCTAACCGACTCTAAACCTATGGGTTCGGTTTTATGGTTTATTGGTTTCTAAATCGGGTTTTCAGGTTCGGTTTTGGTTTATGAAATAGGGATTTTCTAATATGTACCCTATGGGCACATATAAAAAGTATTAATTAATCATAATTATTACAATAATTAAATATTAAATGCATTAATTATAAAAAATATTACCATAACTAAATGTAAAATTTATTAATAATTTTCATAATTAATGCATTTCACATTTAATTATGGTAGTATTTTTCATAATTAATACTTCTTATATGTGCCTTTAGGACACATATTAAAAAATCCCTATGAAATAAACCAAATCGTAAACTATTTTTCTACAATCTCATATCCTCACTTATATAGAAGTGAAGATAGCTTCAACTTTGATCCCTCAATCAATGTGAGACAAAGCTAAAAGCTTAATAAAACCAAATCGTAAACTATTTTTCTACAATCTCATATCCTCACTTATATAGAAGTGAAGATAGCTTCAACTTTGATCCCTCAATCAATGTGAGACAAAGCTAAAAGCTTAATAAAACTGAAGAGGATGTATGTTCCGCATATGTACACGAGCATATGTAGCTAAGTTTCAATCATGTGCCGATGTGGGATGAGTTTATCTAGCTGCGAAAATAAAAGAATTGAAATATTGGACACAAGTTTTGAACATGAGACCTCTTGAAAAAGACGCAATTGCTTTAAACACCTAAACCAGCTCAACTTTTTGACATTACTTCGCTAAACATATTTATATTTGAATATAAATTATATATTTTTATAAACAATATATATAATTGGTTCGGTTCGGTTTCTATCGGTTTTACCATACCCAAAAACCGAACCCAAACCGAAATTTTTGGTTTTCAAAAAATCTAAACCCAAACCATCGGTTTATATTTCGGTTTCGATTTTGTCAGTTTTTCGGTTTCCGGGTTCGATTTTGCTCACCCCTACTATATTGTAATTCGGGTTCTCGAGTTTTGGGTATACCCGAAAATTATTTCAGCATCACAATGAGAACGGCACGAATATATCTTGGGTCGAGATCACCCACACCCTCAGGCTGTGAACACGTGTACGTTCAAGATGACAGGAGAGGGGCTCCGAATCTATTTAAGTGTCCTGTATAAGTAGCAAGTATATGGTTGTTAAGTATCATCCAAAGTTCCAAATCCCGTTTTGCGTCCAAATTCATATCTTACCTAATTCCTCTTTCGGTTTACGTGTAATTTTAATCAACAATGGCTTCAGCCAAGGCGAAGGAGCTCGTTTCATCCAACCCTGTCGTCGTCTTCAGGTTTCATTCCTACCATTTCATAATCCTTCTCTTAAATTTGGTTTGCATTTTTTTCTCGTGAATTTCAAGGAATTGTGGACGTATGGGGTACATGCTGTTTTGATTTGGGTATACTGTATAAATTTAGTGGTTTTTATGGATATAAACTAATTTGTGTTTGAATGGATCTCTGTTAGTGATGTTCGTGTTTTGGTTTTGGTTTTGGCAGCAAATCGTATTGCCCTTTCTGTGTGGACGTTAAGAAGTTGTTGACGGAGCTTAATTCTTCCTTCAAAGCTATCGAGCTTGACCTAGAAAGTCAGTTCCTTTCTCACTCTCTATATGTCTGTCTATAACTGTTTGAGCGATTTGATAAAACATCATCATCAATGGTAGAACTAGTTATCCATAAACAAATTCTGGCACATAAATTGAGCTTTATAACAATTGAAACTTTGCTACAAATTCAGTATTGTTTTAGAATTCCATGCCTTTGAGAAATCTAATTATCCAGAAAGGCTGATTTATAAGTTCTCGTTTACCAACTTTATTATGTAATTTTGAATTTCACAAAGTAGTGAAGTACAAATTCATTATCCTCTTTGAAAACACGATAAGCTCATCATGGAACAAAATTTGTCTCCACAAGCTCACAGTTAGCACTTAGTTCTCCAACTAACATTTTTTCTCCACATCAAGTCTGAATGAACAATGATTTTTGTGTGTATATATAACGTATATTTTTGTCTGTATATATAAGGTTTGTTTCTTTTCTAGACTGAATAAAAACCATCTGAATGAGATCATCTTACCATTACATCCCCTGAAACATTTTTTTTTTAACAATTTTCACAGTAATAATCAATTTTAACAATATTCATCAATTTTTGCATGAGAGGAGTTGGTGTTTTAGTACATTAGACTAAGTTTTTTCGCTCAACATATTAAATCTTTCTATCTAGATTAAGTTAAAAAGAAACAACTACATATATGATATACTTATCCAGCTTAAGTGCTTAACCCATAAAATTCTTTAAGTCAAAATATAAGTATAGGATGTTTACAAACAAAACATTAATGGACCCTTTTTTTTTAATCTACTTCACTTGTAATTATGATCATACTCAATTACTCATTCCAACTGATTTGAAAATTGTGTTGTTATACAATACAAGATGATGGAGGTGAGATACAGTCAGCATTGCATGAGTGGACTGGTCAACGAACTGTGCCAAATGTGTTTATTGGTGGAAAGCACATCGGTGGCTGTGACAGTAAAAGCCTTTATCCTTTTAATCTTTTATATTTTATGATTTTCCAATTTTACCCTTTTCAGTTTTTCTCAATTTAATCTTCCTCACATTTTCCTGTAGGCACTGTTGGCATGCACAAAGGAGGGAAGCTTGTCCCCCTGCTGACAGAAGCTGGAGCAATTGCTTCCAAATCTTAATAAGTAAATAAAATAACTATCTCATGGTTATCTTTATAAACAGAATTTATATTTATCATAAACTTTCTGAAATTCTGTTTTTATGCGTATTTCAGTATTTGCTCATGAACTTATGGTGTTTCTGTAACTGATTAAAAATGTTGCGTTTTAATATCATGTACTGTTTTCATGGAGTCTATTATCTTATATAATCCAATTATTTTTCGATTACAAAAAAACAAATACCAAAAAGGCGTACATAAAATCTTATTTAATTCTTGCAAAATAATTAAGAATTTGAGACAAAAATCCAATGGTCTAGTGTCTTAAGAGCCTTTCCAGATTGGTGTGTATCGCGTGCAAAAGCCACTGCTTCTGATAAGTTGCCAACTTGTCCACTCACTGTAAGTGCTGCTGCTGCATTTAGGACCTGATTTTTATACTTTGTAATATCAGAAGGGCAATTTCGACATATTTAGCTAAAAATTGGTCAATTTGAGTTGTATTTTATCTCCAATGGGTCAAATGGGTAGAATTAAAAAAAGGGTTAATGTCATTAATGAGTAACAAACTATTTGTTTTAAAAAATGCCATAAATGTGTGACAAGCTATTTGTTTTTGTACATAAGAATATAAAATACCATTGATATAATGGTATTTTGTGAACACAAAGTTCGAGTGAGTTACTTATGATGACAATTTTTTTAATCAATGGTGTTTTGTGAAAAAAACAAATAGTTCATTACCAATATATGACATTAATTTTATAAAAACTTAGTTAAATATTTGTCAAATAGGTGGAGTGGGTAGGTCTAAAGTTGCCCAAAGTGTATAAATACGTACAACCTCCTTAAAAAAGGTACACTATTATTAGTTTTTTAATCATATTAAATTCATAGTTATTTGTAAAATAAAAATCAAGAGCTAAATGCAAGAAATAGCAATGTATCTTCGTTTATATGTTCACGATAGCATTCGACTTTCATTTCTTTCTATTACAACAATATACTTTTAATTTTTTTCGTATCAAAATTCAACCCAATTATATCATTGTACTTTCAGTATTTTTCTTATTAAGACCTTGCATTTTGAAAAGTCTACCGATTATAGCAAACTACTTTTTTTTTTCTTATTAAGATATTGTAGTATGAAATACCCATTTATCACAGTGAAAATTGTTTTGTATTTGGAAGATATTGCTATAATTGAGTAGATTATTCAAGATACAGTTTTGTAATAATGCTCAAGAAAAGAAAGTACAATGCTATTTCTTGCATTGAACCCAAAAATAAATACACAAGTGTTGATGGGTTGACCCGACCCGACATATTTTTACCCATTAAAATAAATAAATAAATAACTTTTTGACAAACTCTGATAGATTGTTAAGAAGACTTACCAATGCATCTGCAATAGGTCCACTCTCACCCGACAATACACATCTTAGCACCTTCGCATTGTATTGTGGGTCCCCCCCTCGCAAGTCTTCAACAGTGCATCTAGGAATCCCAAAATCCACTACAAAATGCAAATGATCATTTCCCGTTTAGGTTAGAGATTAGAAAGCAAGTCTAACCATATGATCATATATGAGCGAGCAAATTTACCAAAACAGAATCCTTACATGGGTCAAAATGGAATTTCTTGATCTTTTCTGGAGTGACATCAAAAACTACTCCAGGACCTATTTCATGTGTCATGATCATCAATAAGTCTTTAAAATTAATAAAACTTTAGGTTTTGTTTTCTTTTTTAAACGTAATAGTATTTGATAAACTTTCTAGGGCTGTTTTTGATAATCTGGATGAAGGTGACATTCATGTCTTAAAATATAATCAATTTTTTATTACTTACATCTACAACATTCATAGCACCATTTAAAAAATCACAAAAAAGTAGATAAAGGGTTAATGTGATAAACGAGTAACAATTTATAAACTATTTGTTTTTTTTTTTTTCATAAAACAAAATTGTTTATATAGAATTTTGTGTCAACAAAGTACATTTATTTTAATGGTATATTGTGAACAAATACAAATAATTCGTTACCCATTTACGCTCCTTTGTAAAAACAATTGTTTTTTTTTAATAAAAGAACAAATAGTTGGTAACTCTATGGAAAAAAAAGAACCCCACACAACCTCAAAATTTTGAAATTTATGGGGAGAGAAAGGTGTGTCTCAATGATTTAGAGTATTTTTAGTTATTTTGAAAGAAAAAAATATTAATGAAAGATGGTGATGGTAAGACAAAATATTAGTATAATTTTTGTGTGTGATTGATATTGGTGTAAGTCTTAGGGGGTGTTTGGCTTATCTTTTGAGAGATCAAAAGATTTTTTGAAAAAGATAGAATGCAAAAGATGTTTGGTAAAACCATTTTAAAAGCTACTTTTTGATTTTTTATATAAGAAAAAATGACTTTTTGAAAAAGTCATGAAATACTGTCTTTTTATAACTTTTGCCAAAAAAACTTTTGACTCCCAAAAGATAAGTCAAACACCTCCTAATACATGTCAAAGGCAAAGTCTATGATACGTTGTAGTGTAACAAATGGGACCTTAATGATAAAGAGAGTGATCACGTAACACAATGAGTAGTCATACCGAGTGGGCTCATCTCATCTAAACCCTCAGAATGTACAACTAAAGCCCTTTTCATGCCATATCTTTGTAGAGCTTTTGCCATTTTAGTAACCTACCACCAAAAGTGAAACAATAAAGATGGTTGTTAACAAGTTGTTTTTTTTTGGGTGTAGTTAGGTTAGGTCGTTAAAAGTTAATTTAAGCTTACAATGTCTTCCTTGTATACCCCAACGACTGCAAAGGGAACCCTAGCAGGGTTAAGCATAGGACCCAACACGTTGAAAACAGTCTTCACTCCTAGCTTCTTTCGAATTGGTGCAACAATCTTCATTGCTGGATGATAATTAGGAGACATCATAAACCCGATACCTACTTCTTCCAAACATCTCTTCACTCCCTACCCCCCAAAGATAAAAAATAAAATTGTAAAAAAATTAAAAACGTTTTTTTAGTAGAATGGTGTATGGATGAACATACGAACCTCGGGTTCCAAATTTATGTTCACTCCCAATGCTTCTAATACATCCGCACTTCCACAAGCAGAAGAACTGGATCGATTTCCTTGCTGTAGCACAAGTAGTGTTAGGTTTTCAAACAACAAACGCACAATTAAAGATGCAAAACAAACACACACGCAAAAGATTAATGTGGTTCCCCCTTTTGTATAGATACAGAAATAGAGTGGAAGTTTTTCACCTTGGCAATTTTAGCACCACAGGCAGCAGCAAGTAAAGCAGCTCCAGTTGATATATTAACCGTGTTAGCCCCATCTCCACCCGTCCCTACAATGTCGACTGCGTCCTCTATCCCCTCCACCTTTCGACTGCAATTGATCATTGCTTTTGCTAACCCTACAATCTAAAGACATTGCAAGAATCATAGATTAAAGTGGCTGGATCGGTAATATGTTTTTACATGCAAAAGGTCTGATTGCTGAACAATCATTTTACCTTTACACCCAAAAAACAAAATTTCACAGTATTCATCAAATTTTAACATGAAAGGAATTGGTAGGGAAAAATAGGTAAAGGCTTAGCCATTTGACAGTTGACCCATTATGTCATGTTTTTTTGTCTTAACCCATAAGTCATTCTTTCCAAATGAAGAAAAAAAGAAACAACCATATACACCTGTCCAAATTAAATGCTTAACCTGTTAAGCTCAAAGAAACAACTTCTACGTAATGATCTAATAGTGTCAGTTAGGGTTGTTTGTCCAAAGCATGGAACCAACAAACTAGACTCAATCAAATGAAACGGAGTTGTTTGGTGAATAACCCTATTTTGGTCTTCTTACCATGCATATCAAATCACTTTTTGGGATTATTGTTAAGATCCAAGTGGCGTAGCCAAAATTTTGTTTTAAGGTATGAACCAGTGGCAAAATTCTTCAAACGATAACAAATGTAACTATATATATTCTTAACTAAATTGTTTATTTTAAATTGCACAAAATGTTGTCTTACATCATTAAAATAATCTAAGATGGAGTCTAATCCACATAGACAATAATGTATTCTCTTCTACTAATTTCAAGTTTTGTGTAATAGGCCATATCACAACCCTAATTAATTTTATTTAACAAATATATATATATATATATATATATATATATATATATATATATATATATATATAACCTTAATTTTGTGTGGGTGGGCTAATGCCCACTGTTGCTCTATATTTGCTACGCCCTGTTAAGATAGAAACAAGCCAAATCCGTCAATGTGTAAATTTTTTTTTTAAAGGTTTTATACTTTTTTTTATATAATTAAACTATTTATTCAATGATGTAGCACCCGGAAAAAATTAGTCTGGGGTAAATTTTGAGAGACGCAGAAAAAAGAGGGATATTTATATAACTCACTAGATTTGAGTTAAGAGATTAGTTTTATGTGCACTTTTTAAATTTGCATTTATGTAATTTGTTGTTTAAAATAGATTTTCTAAGCCTAAGGCCACACATAATAACCATTTATTATGAAAAATATTACCATAAATAAATATGAAATGCATTAATTATATGAAATATTTTGTGTAATTAATACATATGAAATATTTTGTGTAATTAATACATTTCACTTTTAATAATGCAAATATTTTTTATAATCAATGCATTTTACATCTAATTATAGTAATATTTGATATAATTGATGTTTTTTATATATGTCCTTAAATAAAAAATTCAACAAACAATTAAATGATTACTCATCTACTATAGTAAATAAAAAATAATTTTGTTACATGTCAATTTTTTATAATTTTGATACTTGTCATTTTATGATATTTTAAAATAAATAATATCTACTGATTTTGTCAATTTTAAAATTTAAAAACATATACCTTAAAGTATTAATTATAATAAACATGATAGTAATTACAATAAATATTTTTTTCCATCTTTATTTCAAAATTTATTTTAAAAAAAATATATTTATTATTTACAATTTAACTTTTTTTTTTTTTTTTTTTTAAATCAACATCAACAGATATAATATACACGTGTGGCGACTAGTCTTTCATATAACAAAAACGTAAATACGGTATCTTCATCTTATGCTGTTCCATTTCACCACAACACATAATTATAAGCTGATAATTTCAAGTATTCAATAATAAAATAACACGTCAAACTGCAAACCTAAACACACCAATATGATTATGATTTATGATCAGTCGTAAGACATAACTGAAACTACTAACCTCCTCAAAAGTTTCTCCTTTGGCTCTAAGAAGAACAAGGAAAGCACTGATCAGAGCTTCATTAGCATCTCCGAGCAAAAACTCCAAAGAGTTTTGCGCCTCCTCCTCACTCAAATCAACACAATCCAGCAAGTTCTCGATGAACTGCAACCAAAACACACACACACTGCTTAAACCTAATTATGAAACGATTTACGAAAATGACGATGAGATTTGAGGAGTAGTACCTTCGGAGAAGAAACAGAGAGCTGTAAATCCGATCGCGAGCAAGAAAAGTGAGTATTCGAAGCTAAAGAGTTGAAATTCTTCCATGGATGAGATTTACGACGGATCTGAGGCGGTGATGCCTCCCTGAAAATGCTACGGCGGTGGAAAACGGAAGAATTGCTGCAAGGAAACGGAACCACCATTACTGCTTTTTGTTCATTGACCAGTGAGGCAGTTGCAGTGAGCAGTGAGCAGTGAGTACTCAATTCTTTTCTGCTACTAAATCGTACCAGCAAAATTTCTATTTTTGCGTCACGAGTTATCTCAACATTAATGCTACAACGACCGCCTTTATTAATGTTACATTTTTGGTCCCGAAGCATATCTGGTAGTTTAGATGATTTTTACAATTCAAGGACGAAAATCTAGGTTCCGATTGATACCGTTTGATAGTTGCTGACTGGGAAAGGTTTGTCTGGGAAAACATTTTTGACTGAGTAAGAAATCATGTTGTTTGATTGTCCATCTGACTGAATGTGCTGAGTGATTAAAAATGATAATTTTACCCTCTGTTATATATAGTGATGGATTAATTAAGTTGCTAAATAATTATAAAAACATACATATTATCATAAAAAATGTAAATTACACACAAATAAAAAATATCATAAAAAATGTAAATTAAACATAAATCATTTAATATCCAAATAAAAACATAATGAAATTTAAAAGAACATAATAATTTAATGTAAAGTAGGTGAAAGTAGTCGATTTGCAATCTGATCACGCAAAACAAGCATATACTTAACGGCTTTTGGACCTCATTCTATGTCTTGTATGTTTTCTCTATCAATTCCCCCACTTTGGACGTCAGGAGTAACCATAATGTCCTCCTCAAAATTTCTAAACAAGTCATCTTCTATATTGTATTTCCTTATAAAATTATGGACCGTGACACAAGCAATGACTATGTCTCTTTGCACTGTATAAGGATAAGGAGCCATTTGTTTTAAGATTGAGAATCTCGCTTTCAATACATCATAAGCACGCTCAATAACATTTCTAAGTTGTGCATGAACATGATTGAACCTTTCTTCTCTAGTTAAAGGTCTGCCTCTTCGAAAATCGGCTAACCAATACCTAGTATTGCGGTATGGAGCCATAAACCCACAAGTGTTTGTATATGCGGCATCACAAAGGTAATATTTATCTGCAAATGAATGTGACACATATTATATAAAGAAGATAGATAATAAAATTTATATAAATATTACAAACCCGGTGGAGGAAACGGAAATCCAGAAGTCGAATTGAACACAACTTCTTTTAAAACTCTTGAATCATGTGTTATACCCTCCCATCCAGCCCAAACAAAGGTGAATATCATATCAAAATCACAAATTCCTATAACATTTTCAAAACATTCTCCTTTTCCTCATCCCTTATAACGAGTTTGTTGATCTACGGGTACAACCGCATGTACAAGAGTTCCATCTAATGCACCTATTGCTCCGGAAAAAATATTTTTTAACCGTCTATATCGTTCCGAGTTATGTCTTGTTGGATTAGGAGTTGTTGGTACTATAACTTCTTTTGCAAAACACATCATTGCAGTTAGGACCTCGTGAAAACATTGATGAATCGTTTGTGTGGAGTGATCAAATCTTATCTTAACCGCGCAAAAACGTTCATTATGTCCTATAACATGTAAGAATATAGCCATCTTCTCTTCAATGCTTATTGTTTTACTAGCTTGCAACCAATTTTTTTTGGGTAAAATGGTTACATAATAATGCAAATGCCTCTTGTGTAAGATGCATCATATCGTAACATTGTGTAGGGTCCCCGTACATCAAATCTTGCGTATACGCATACCCGCTTGCACCGTTATCTCTAATTCTATGAATTCTGATTAGTCTGCGTCGGTTTGACCTCAACCAATAAAACACAAGTAAAAGAAAAGCTACAACTTCACCATCAGAAACCATACTTGACCTGTTGCAAAGAATTAGATAACATGTTAAAGTAAAAAAAAATCATGCACTAAAAAAATTAGTAAAGGTCATATTCAATAACAAACATCATATTCAATATTCAATAACTTCCAAAAGTCATGCAAATAACATCATCCAAAGTAACATCCAAAAAAGTATCAAACATAGGATCCAAAAGTCATGCAAACTTTCTATCCGCACCCATCAAAGGTAACCATACTTCCTACCTGCACCCATCACCCACAACTCACAACTAGTATGTGAAAGTTGTAACCAAACTTTTCTAACATCAACACTTTCACCAAATAGCAAAAGAGCGGTCTTGTGTCTTTCATCTTCTTCTCCCCATTCCATTTTGTTCAATTTCTCCATACACGCATCAACATCTTTATCCATTTCACTTTTTTCAATTCTTTCATTTTTTTCCACTAACGACCTTGCAAGCTTGACAATCTCCTCTTCAACTTCTAATGCCCTTGCATCTCTTTTTTTCCCACCAACTTTTTTGTTTCCACCAACTTCCGTATTTTTTGAACGCCCCGAAGATTCTTCACTTGCACCTATGTGTTGTGTTGAGGTTTCCATTGGAACATCATCATCAAAATCATGGGCACTAAACTCGTCTACAGGACGAGGGAGTGTAGAAAATGGCCCCCAACTTTGAAAGCCGGTTTAGGTCGACCCTTCAAATAGTTGGGTGCAAAGTTCAGGAAACAGTAGGGGTTTAGTTTTCAATGACAACACGAACTTGTTCAATTGTTACATTTTTTATAAATATTAGTATTTTTTATAAAAATAATTATAATAGTATTTGTTATAAAAATATTACCTTCCCTTCTTCCTTCCATTGTTCATCAGTCAGGTTAAATTTATTTTTTATAGGGTCATATATATTGCCGGTTTTGTTTTGATTTGTAATAGTCAAAGTGGTTTCTCATTTGCTTCTGATCAACCTCTTTACCGTGTTCGTTCATCAATTTTTCGCGTACTATCTTCCATGAACTAGCCTTAAGCCCAGAACCCTCACGACCATTAGTGGTTTAGTTCATGGATACATGCATCAAGAAAAGTCTTGTTCTCACTTTCGTTCCAAACCAACATCCTAAAACAAAACAAAAAAAAAATCTGATTTTTGATTTCATAGCTTATACACAACCAAGTTTCAGATTTCATAAAATTAGAGCGATGTGTTAGACTCGTTACTAGTGTAGCACTATAAATAAAAAAATTCTACTTTTAACAAAAATGTAAATGACTATGGACTAAATTAAAATGTACCCACTCGGATTCTTCAAACAAGTCACAATGTTGTTATTAATTTAAGAAAAGTTCATTTTTTAGTCATCACATTCCTAGACCCAAATAATACCATATCCAATTTCATGGATTGTTGGTGTATTTGACAGTTTATCATTTGGAATTATATCACATAATTTTGAGGACCAATGAATATCAAAATAGATTTATAACAAACACAAATTCCTAAGAATTGCAAGTCTGTGAAGGTCTAATTTGGTTTTTATCACATCACTTAAGAAACAAATGCTATCACAGGAAAGGAAAACATATATAATAAATACGAATAGCCAAGTGTAATGTCGAATTTGTGGCCATTTATTCCAATTCTTCATCTTTGATTTGTCTTATACAAATTGTCAACACATTTAAGCCTCTGAAGTCTAATTTTTGGGAAATTTATTCCAAATTTTCAACTTTAATTTGTCTTATACAAAGTGATGCTACAAAAGAACATACTTTCTCATTCTTATGGCTGCCGAAATCTATGAGTAAATAAAAGAATGGAGTTTAATTGAAGACTTTTACCAACATTAATCAGACTAGCATGCCAAAATTGCTTGAGTGAACACGAAAAAAAGTACAAATTAAAGGGTACTGATTGGGAGGGAGCTTACCTGTTGTAGAAGAAGAAGATTCGGCTGAAGGAAGGAGGAAATCCGAAGGGAGATGGCAGCGATAAGGAGGGAGATGGCAGCGACAGGAGCTGTTCGATGGAGGCGATGGAGGAGGCGTGATTTTGGACGCGATATCTTTTAGGTCACCAGAAAATTATGAGAGGGTAGGGTGGTCTTTTGGCGAGTCAGCAGCATCTTTAGAGCGGAGCGAGACATCTATTTGGGCCAGACAAGCTGACCGAGACAACCCTTATCAAACATGAAACGTCTGACCGAGAAAGCTGAAGCATCTGACTCGGTTTGGGTCAGATGGGTATCAAACAAGGCCGTAATTTACTCTCAAACTTAAGTTCCCCTAAGGCTCTAACCAAGGGTTTTCATCCATTCAAATCTAATAGATATTGATAGAACCGATCCAATTCAACCATTGGATGTTAGATTATGTCAACCGATCCAATTAGATGTTAGATTGTGTGACATCTCCATTTTCACAGCCAGAAAAGACCGATTTTGTTTATGCTTTATAAAAATCAGAGTTCTTCTTTTAATAAAAATGTTGCGGAATGCGTTCCCAAAAAACACGATAAATACGTTATTAAAACATTTTCGAAGAAACGTATTTTATTCATTTTAAAACGTTTGGGATGTCATCGTCAATACAGGAACATAAGCATAAACAGAACTTACATTTATTTACACTAGTGATCTACATCTCTTTAATCTCTCAGTGTAATGTGACTTCATATCAACACCTGTGATATAAATAAACTGAGTGGGTCAGGTTGGGAAACCTGGTGAGTACATAGGGTTTTCAACCCACAATAATATAATTATTATGTTTAAACAATCAAACAATCAACCCAATTACCCATCCCCGTTATCTTCTTTACTACTAAGGATTTATCCTAAGAGTCATCTATTCTGCATTCATTTATTCCGAAGTCCCTTACTTCCAGGGTTATAGGACTGACACTAAATCCATAGCTGCTGTGACAACCCGAAATTTCCATTCTGAACAAACCATTTCAATCCAATAGAAGTAGAGCAGTTACAGTGAAAATTCAGACTTAGAATATAAGTTTAGCAGTTTCAGGGTTTTACACCTAAAGAGATATTAGGAGAGTGGTTGCACTAGGATTTTGTGCAACACTGTAATTCCATTACCCTAGATCATTAGAATCCATTCGGAGAATAGAAATATTTTCTGCCAAAAATCTCAGGACTATAAATAGAATTCTGAACCAAATTGGTTCATTAGTTGAATTCCATTTAGAGAAAATCCAATTTCTCTCTCACGGATCTTCGGGTTTTCATCCCAGATTGTGAGTCTACTTCCCTAGATGTGTTTTAATACTTGTTATATGCTTAATAACATTATTTACATGTCCAAAACACGAGATCCGGGAGCTT